GTGCCTCAGCAATGTTCAACAACTTAAACAGCAATGCAAAGACAACAAACATACGACGTGTGGATACCTTCCCAATGGCGAAACTTCCAGAGAAGCCTTTGCCCTTCAGCTGTGTGTAAAGACGACAAGATAAAGTTTGCTTTTGACTTACTCTACATATAAAACAAGAAATATTCCTGTATTAAATTGCAAATTACCTGCTTGACAGTGCCCCTCTCAACCATTCGCTTCAGAGCCCTCTTGTAGAGGTTTTTGGTCTTTTTGTCCATTTCCACAGATGGATATTTCTTCATGACATATTTCATAATGGTGATCGAAGAGATACCACTCCGCTCTTTGCAACTCTGTAAGTAGATTGTAAAGATTTACATACGAGATGGCAATTTTTAGATTCTTACATTTCCAAACAATGGAAAACCTAGTCCTAAAACAGAGAAATTCTTGCACTTTGGTTTTCATCGTCCTGAAATCATTGGGTTTTTAGAATGGGCTTTTGGTTAAACGCCTGAAATAAGGTCTGTGGTTAACTCAAACTAAAGAGATTTTCTCGTTTTATTAATCTACAACATAAAATACTACAGTAATACCTCACTCACAATTTTTTTAAGCTCTGGAAAAAGGTAAATGGGACTACAGAGGTTGCTGGGAACATTAGATGTCATCACGCCGAACAGGTAAACTCATCAACTTCAACTTAAAATGTCTAAAGTGTAGATTTGAAATAAAGCTCAAAAGAGTTCTTAAAGATGCTTAATGATGGTGATGTTAAAGTCGCGTGACTGTGATGTAGTTTGTTTACAGTCCACTTCTGCCGATTGTATTTAGGCTTCAAACTTCATAAAAGTTGTGTTCATTTGTCAGGATTATCATGATTAACAAAACATGTAATTACCATAAACATTTGTTGTTTACAGAGCCTATTTTCTTCAATAAAGCCAATGAAATAACCCTAGTTTTTTTCCCCCCAAGGGAACCAGGTTGTTGCTAACTTCCACGTTGACCTACAAAAATACGTCATCACTGTAGCACTCTATACTGGTATACACATTTTAACAACTAAAACCTTTAAAACAACTGATTAGTGGGCAAAAACATATTTAAAAGTCAATCAAATCCTCTCTAAAAGGTAATGGAATAGATCAATTCTGAACCAGACCTCAACTGCTTCTATGATGATTTCTTCAACTTTGAACTGGGAAAGAGAGGTTGAAGCCAGTTTCTTGGCGGAAATGGTCGCCCAAGCAGGAATCTTCTTTTTCACCTTTTTCCCTTTGTCATCTTCCTTGTCACTGCAACATTTGAGCAAAAGTCAGTAACAAGTGGAATTGACCAAATGCTTAAATATAAATGTATTTTTTGTACAACAGCCAGATTTACATTTTGGCTACAACGTCCTTGACTTTTTTCTTCTTGTTTTTCCCTTGTTCAGTTGCAGCTTCTTCAGACTTCTCCCCCTCATCAGGTGTCTCGCCTTCATCTTTGGCCTGCTCCTCATCATCAGCGGTTGCCTCCTCTCCTTCATCTCCTGCTTTCTTTTCCTCCGTGGTTTCAGGTTCAGTGGGTGCCGAATCTTTCTCTTTCTCCTTCTCACCTACAGTTGCAGACCCTTTGGCAGGAGCATCTGTGGAACGGAAAACAATGAGAAGCATGGAAATGTTCAAGCAAAATTCATACCACCTGTGCATTGTTTTATAAACTCTCCCGAAGCCATATGATTTCAGCAAAGGATTTCAGTGCCAAGCTGCGTGTGTCCCAGTATTATTTCAGCAAATAATGACAGACTTTTTTTTTTATTTGTGGGTGAATTATTCCTAATGACGTGCTTCTGTCTATGTGGACTGTCATTATTCCCGTTCCTGCTCAATATGGCTGATGTACCAGGTAAGGGGCAATACCTACCTCCCTCAGGGGCATTTGCAGGGGGTGCATCCTCTTTGGGTGGGGCTGCAGCTGATCGGCGAATGGGCATGATTCTAACCTGCCAATAAATATAGACTCCATTAATTATATATATATATATATATATATATAAATATATATATATAAACAAGAGATTTCATTCATTTAGCAAATGGTGTATGCATCTAAACTGGGAGTGCAATAAAAAGTTGCATTGTTTATTACGTTATAATGCACTGTGGAGATTTACAAAATTACAGGATTTTTATGCACTGTTTTGGACACCTGAAATGAACGACCATGACCTCTGGTCAGCAAATGGAAGCTCGTGCATAGAAAAACACGTCGACAAACACGCGCTGGACATAAAGGCACAGCAAATTAACAAGAAAGGAGCAACACTCTTATTGTTTATGTGCTCCAAATGGTCTTTATTGATATGTGCAGCGAATAACGTGCATAAAGGCACACCTGCACACATTCTACTAATGCACAAGAACTGAACTGCACGTAAAAAACAATATAATCGAAAATGGCCATTTTGTCCATTCTGCCCTGTACAGTAATGGCGCTGCGTTGGGATGAAAATGGTAAATGCACGAGGCTGCAGATTCAAAAGATTTAATAAAACACACACGCCTGCAGAACTAAAAAAAAAATCTGTAAACTGAGGATGCACAATTTCAGAACGAGCTTTTTAAAGCATACCTTTATGTACTGGTTTGTCAGTTGAAAGAAACACTCCCTTCCTTTTTGGAATTCTCTGTTTACGTGCCCCTCCCCCCTCGTGTGTACGCATAGCGACGTACGTGTTCACGCATGCGTGCGTGTACAAGGACCAGGTCGGCTTTTGTGAGCTACACTGTTACGATGTTATGAACGATATTACAGAATGACTTGTTTATATAACATTTACCTAATGCTTTTTTCATTTTGTGTAACGGTCGAAAAGGGTATTATTTATACAAATATTTTTATATTTATTTATATGTTAATAAAAAAAGCAATAAATAATGTTAAAACATTTTATTTTAAAAATAAAAATATGTTTCCTGTTTGGCTTGGTTTATTTGTTATTTGCGAATTAAATCATTTATATTTCTACACAAGATGGCAGTATTGCCATTTGATGCATAAAATTAAACTTCATATTTTTATAAAAGCTATCTAGGGATATGTCTTTGTCGAGCTGTCTCCACGTGCAGTGCTACTTATACACTTTTATACTATAAAATAAACATATTACAAATACGTTCAAAATTTATAAAAAGTATGATATTATGTGTTTTGGAACATAAAACAATGTTGTTTTAAGCACCTTGGAGTACCATGTGAATGTCATGCTGCATTATTAGGAAAATGTGGTTGCTGACAACTATTTTACTATTTTGAATCACCTTTTTTTTTTTTTTAATAAAAGCTTTTAATTTATATTTAATCTATGCCTTGAATTACACTTTGTTTGAAAAGAGGTGCTTAACCTTAAAAAATTATATTATAAATAAATTATTTATTCTCTACAGAAGGTTCAACTTTATTTTATGAGATTTGTAATAATTTATTTTAATATATATATATATATATATATATATATATATATATATATATATATATCAGTTTTAAGTTGTTTTCATTATTATCTTTTATTAAAGTTTAAGTAACATTTTCAGTGTTTTGTAATTTTTAGTAGTCTTTTTATTTATTTATTTATTTTTTACGTATTTGTTTATTTTTTTTATAAATTTTTATTTCAGTTTTAGTTTTAGTTATTTTAGTACATCAAGTTGAAGTAAATAAAAAAATGAAATGTTCTCTTGGGAAAAGCTGAAATAAAAAGTTAAAAAATATATATATATATTTTATTTCAATTAACAGTTATTTATTATAATTTTTTTGTTTGTTTGTTTGTTTCAGTTTTAGTTTTAATTTTTGTTGTACTTAACTATACCCTGCAGGACACTGCTTGACATGCCCACTATTCATATGTCAGAGGTATACAAGTATATATCAGAAGTATCATATATAATATGATCTCATCATATGATACTCTCACTGTCTTTTAAAATGGTATAATGTTGCAGCCGGTTTTCTAAGAGAATGCAGAATAAATGCATGTTTTCTCTGATGCACAAACGGATAAAGAACACAATCTGTGGGGTTTCATGCAGTACTGAAACAGCACCCACACACTCTGTGTGCTTTCAAAGTCCACCATGTGGTGTCCCACACAATCATCCACCCCAGCAAAACCCACTGCTGCAAAAATACAAGATCCAAAGCTTTTCCAGCGAAACGACTTTTCTATCGGGTTCCTAAACACAGAGATTAGATTAATAATGATTATTATTATTATTACATTTTTGTTGTTGTTGGACATTTGTGTTTGGTGCCTGGTTCCATAAAAGCAGTGAGATTACTATGTGGTTACCATGCCAACACAAACCTTCATCTTTTTAGAGAGATAGCCCACTGTTGCTTTGGAGACGAAAGTCCAAAGAAATTGGTGTACAAGTGGAGCTGTTTTAGATGTAATAGTATCAGAATGCTCTTTTGGCATAATTTATATCTCAGTGTGTTATTCCTGGACAAAGTTGCCTTTGTTTCAGTTGCTTTCAGGGAAATGATAAACAGAAGAATCCTGAATTAGACAGCATCTTGCATAGCCCCTCGACTTCACTGTGTGCTTCATTAGGTTTGTAGCACTTTTCATTTGAAACCCTTAAAAATAAAGTCATTTTCAACAAATGGTGAAAGGAAGTGCTTAACAGTCACAATTCATACTGGTGCTCTTTGAATAAGGGATCCAAATTTGTAGTCCGTGGCTGTCAGTGAATCAGATTGACCCTGATGAAGGATTTCTAAACTGCAGCCCATCAGTTTGTGGAATGATTTTAAATTAATAGCCATGATATATTAAAAGTTTGCAGTAATATTATTTATTATTGCAGGTTTTAAAGAAACAAAACAAATAAATAAATAATAACACTGTTACATGTAAAGGGTTACAAATTAAGCGCTTAATTAAATCTATAAAGAGGCAACCAAATGTTGGTATGTGGTTATTGCTAAACTTATATTTCCATAATTGAAATATATATGTTAGTTCGTTTAGATGTCAAAATTGTACAGTGTGTAAGTAAATCAAATATTACATTTATACAGAATGGTATATGATAATATACAAGAAGTAAACAAACTTAAAGAAACGTCTTACAATATAACGTATGATTTGACTAGCAGCACATACTTTGATCATTCCGGTGGATTAAGGTGACAACCCTAGTTTTTATATGAAAGGAAAGAGCCAACTTGTACAGCAGACTTTCATAACAAGACTTAATGGTCATTCCTGTTATGCAGTAGATAGATATTCATACCACATTAGCCAAAATCATCACAATTAAAAGAACCAAAGACTTAAACTACTTCAGTCTGTGTGCATTGAATTTATTTAATACACGAGTTTCACAATTTGAGTTGAATTACTGAAATAAATGAACTTTTCCACGACATTCTAATTTATTGAGATGCACCTGTATACAGTATGCCATAATAATACATTGGGTAAATGTCAAATTCACAATTTTCAAGTGAACATGGTGTGAAAAAACTGGCCTTGCCTAATTAGAAGATAATCTGATAAATACTTTAGTTGAAGGACAGCCATAGTGTTGCGTCCTAGAGAAGACCACAAGGCTGCCTGGACTGAATTGAAGTCGAAAGGAATAATGAGGTGGTTTTGTATATTAGGGTATAGTCAGCAGTTATTGCAATGCTTATTTGCCTGCCATTTTGAATCCAGAACACTAACTGCACTAATTACAACAATTTTGTCATTTCAGTGCTCTTCGGTTCTTCCTGGCTCACCCTGTTTGAGCACTCCTTCCTCAGCTGGGAAATAGCTTAAATATGAGGAAACCTCCATTCAGAAGATTGATCCTGTTCAACATGCAGCAGATTTTGTTTTTTTTAGGTTTGTATTTATTTTTAGGCCTATTATGATTATTCAGTTTTAGAAGCTGCTACCATATGTTTTTATTAGCTCTATGCCGATAATGCTTGAGTTAAATTAAACATGATTATCTATCTATCTATCTATCTATCTATCTATCTATCTATCTATCTATCTATCTATCTATCTATCTATCTATCTATCTATCGATAGATTGATAGATTGATAGATCGATAAAATTAAACTATATATATATATACTTTTTAGATGAGATTTAAATTTTTTATATACAGCATGCATATATAAACAGCAAGCTGAAGGAGACAGTAGCGAGAAAAACATCTTTAAGATGTTTAGCTGATATATGGAAGGCACAAACATGCATAAATTCTAAAAGAATTTTGAATTACTGTGCGAAAAGTCTCCATGCTGAGCCCATAGGAAAGATTTATGTGGTGGCAGATTTTGGTTATGGCTGACAATCCGTACTTTTGACCACTAGATGTCGCCATTGAAGTGGTTTCCTCTTTCTTTGAGTTGACTTCCACCTGTTCAGCTTATTGTCACCTGTGTTTCACTCTGTACAGTATACTCAGATCTGCAGTTTATATACAGTCAGTTATTCATAATGTGAGCTGCTCAAGTGTGAGCTTGTTTTTTTGTGTTTCAAATTAGTTTTAGGGTGAGTTTTGTCCTTTTGTCCTCCATGCTGTTCAGTTCTGCTTTATAGATTAGTTTCTTATTTTTCTCTTTATTTCCTTGAGCAGTGTCATCATTGCCACTTGACTGACAGTGAGTTATTGGTGGCTTGCCAGTGTACCAGAGGGTGTCCGAGTCCAATCATTCACTATGAAGAACCATCTATTGCTGCTGACCTCCAAAACCACCCTATGAAGGCTGTTCACATAAGAATAACCTATTGTCTTGTTTGGTGTTTGGTCCCATTAGACTTAAAAACTTCTTCTAATTGGCTGAATATGTCACAGTTATGGCTGAGATGTGATTAGTTTTTTTTAAGGCTAAATCATTTCTTCTTCATTTGACATTGCCAAACACCTCTATGTGGTTTTCCTCAATGCAATACTTCTGAGTTTTGGCTGACGGCATGTACCAGGCAGATTTACAATCAATATTTTTGAACTGATTATTAACTACATCAATAAGCAGCACCAGAACCTTATACACTCTTAAAAATAAAGGTTCCAAAAGGGGGGTTTCACAGCAATGGCTTAGAAGAACCATTATGGACTGCCCAAAGAAGCTATCAGGTGACAGTTCTTAAAAGAACCATTTCTTCCTTAGTGTGAAGAATGTTTAATAATCTGAAGAACCCTTTTCTACTTTAAGAATCTTTTGTGGAATGGAAAGTTTCCATGGATGTTTAAGGTTCTTTATGGAACCATAGATGCCAATAAGGAACCTATATTTTTAAAAATGTAGGTAATGTGCTTTACTCTGATGTAGTAACTCCACAAACCTCATTCTGACGACCTTATGCTGTAAAAACTTTAGTTTCATGCACTTTCAATGCAAAATTCATCTTAGTAACATTGCCCAAACCACACGCTATAAACTTTAGTTTCACCACAGCTGATATTTCTGAGACCAATGTGCTTCCATATTTGCTTGTCTCGGGCCCATGCAAATAGAGATAATTGCGGACCAGCTGTATGAGCAGGAGGCGGCCTGCGAGAGGACTCAGCTGTAGTGAGTATGCCACCATGCCATGTCTTAGTGCCAGTCAGTCAGCTCTGTTTCAATTAGGCCTAAAAATGAGTTAATCTTATACAGGCCAGAGAGGACAGACTCGGCAAACATGCACTTTCACTTTGCCTATGGATCATTTAAGCTTAAGTAAATACTTCAGTCTTTTCTAATGTAATACGAGGATGACTTTACCAACCACAGATCAAACACGATTGTGGGCTGTACTACTTTGCTATAGTCTCACTTCTTGATTGGCCTTCGCTACCCAAGTTTTAACGCAAGTTAAAGGAATAGTTCACCAAAATATTAAAATTTGCTTAACGTTTACTCACTCTCAGGCCATCCAAGATGTAGATGAGTTTGTTTCTTCATCAGAACAGATTGGCAGGAATTTAGCCTTATATCACCTGCTCACTTGCAGCTATGTGTTTGTAAGAAACAAATCCATTATTAAGGTGTTTTAATTTTAAACTCACTTTTTGCCGAAACACCAGTCCATACTCTGCGATAATACTTTTTCAGGTTTTCACTTTGCGCAGTTTTTCACATCACAAGATGTTAATTGATGGACTGGGGTTGTGTGGATTGCTTGTGATGTTTTTATCAGCTGTTTGGACTCTCATTCTGACGAGAGATGTAATGCAAAATTTCTCCAAATCTATTCCCATGAAGAAACATCTTGGATGGCCATAGCGTAAGTAAAAGTTCAGCAAATATTCATTTTTGAGTGAACTATTCCTTTTAGCAAATATGTGCTTATAATAACTTTCTTACATGTGAAAAACTTGCTATATAATTTAGTGTTGGGGATTTGCACAAAACTTTAAGTATTGAACTTTGGAGCTATTCCTCATGTGGTTTGTTGAGCAGAGTTGTGCTGCTACTTCTCTTAGCGCCTATCACAGCTATGCAGATGATACCCAGATTTACCTAGCCTTATCTCCAAATGACTACAGCCCCATTGACTCCCTCTGCCAATGCATTGATGAAATTAACAGTTGGATGTGCGAGAACTTTCTTCAGTTAAACAAAGAAAAAACCGAAGTCATTGCATTTGGAAACAAAGATGAAGTTCTCAAGGTGAATGCATACCTTGACTCTAGGGGTCTAACAACAAAAAATCAAGTCAGGAATCTTGGTGTGATTCTGGAGACAGACCTTAGTTTCAGTAATCATGTCAAAGCAGTAACTAAATCAGCATACTATCATCTCAAAAACATTGCAAGAATTAGAGGTTTTGTTTCCAGTCAAGACTTGGAGAAACTTGTTCATGCCTTTATCACCAGCAGGGTGGACTATTGTAATGGTCTCCTCACCGGCCTTCCCAAGAAGACCATTAGACAGCTGCAGCTCATCCAGAACGCTGCTGCCAGAATTCTGACTAGAACCAGAAAATCTGAGCATATCACACCAGTCCTCAGGTCCTTACACTGGCTTCCAGTTATATTTAGGATTGATTTTAAAGTACTTTTACTCGTTTATAAATCACTCAATGGCCTAGGACCTAAATATATAGCAGATATGCTCACTGAATATAAACCTAACAGACCACTCAGATCATTAGGATCGAGTCAGTTAGAAATACAGAGGGTTCACACAAAACAAGGGGAATGTGCTTTTAGTTATTATGCCACCCGCAGTTGGAATCAGCTTCCAGAAGAGATCAGATGTGCTAAAACATTAGTCACATTTAAATGCAGACTCAAAACTCATCTGTTTAGCTGTGCATTTATTGAATGAGCACTGTGCGATGTCCGAACTGATTGCACTATATTATATGTATAATCGTTTTCTTAAATTCATTTTAAACCTCTTAAATCAATTTAAAAAAAAATAATTTTCAAAGTTTTAAATTCCTTGTTTTATTGTTGTGATTATTGTTTTTATTTTATTTTATGTAAAGCACTTTGAATTACCATTGTGTATGAAATGTGCTATACAAATAAACTTGCCTTGCCTTGCCTTAGTGAAGAAGAACCATTCAGTCTGAGGACCTGACCTCCACATTCAGGGTTTTAAACTAGGCTTGCCCTGAAGAACTCGCATGAACCCTTAATCTCTCCTGACCAATGTGGATACCACTAGTCCATCTACACTAATAGTCAAATGTTTTTGAAAAAAGTCTCTTCTGCTCACCAGGGCTGCATTTATTTAATCTAAAATGCAGTTAAAACAGTGATATTGTTAACTCTTTTCCATTCAAATATATTTTAAAATGTAATTTATTCCTGTGATGTCAAAGCTGAATTTTCAGCATCATTACTCCAGTCTTCAGTGTCACATGATCCTTCAGAAATCATTCTAATATGCTTGATTTGCCGCTCATGAAACGTTTCTTATTATTATCAATGTTAAAAACAGTTGAGCTGATTAATATTTTCTGTGAAAACCAATGGTGCATCTTTTTTCAGGATTCTTTGAGCAAAACAAAAGTTAATAAGATAGAAATAGAAACCTTTTATAACTTTATAAATGTCTTTACTTTGACTTTTGATCAATTTAATGCATCTTTGCTGAATAAAGCAATTAATTTTAAAAATCGTACTGACCCAACACGAACTGTGAGTGGAAGAGCTTGAGGAAAAGGCATCAAAGTATCCTCAATCTGTTTGCAATGCAAACAGATCTCTCAGCATTTTCTCTCTTTCATTTTCCTTTATTCTCTCCATGCAGGTGAATATGAGATTTATGCTGTAGGGAATATAGCAGCCATCTATTAGTGCCACATTCTTAGTGTCTGCTGAAACAGCTTGGGATGGAGTCAAAATTAGTATTGATTTAACTGATTGATGATTTGAGCAGCTCTGCTTGGGTGTGAAATGACAATTTTGCCATCTGGAAGAGAGGTCTGGTGACTTTGAAAGAGTGCTGTGCCTTTCTTTATTCACTGAGCTCATCGCAGGAGGCATCATGTTTTGCACAGGATCACACCCAAGAATCAGTTCCCTTTTTTTTCAGCATGGCTGTGGGTAAAAATGTTTAATATTTTACTTTCTCTGCTTCAAAGGTTTTCTTAACATCACACAATATTATGAACTAGCTTCTGATGCACTAGTTCATAGGTGACTGATGCAACCTTGACAAAGATGAATTGAAACCTTTTATTTACTCAGATATGCCTGTGCGACAACTAGCCCCGGCCTATTAAGTCTGCTAATTATTTTGACATTATTGAAGTATATGTGTATATGCATGTGTATATATAACTTATGTTGAGGTTGTTGTTTTCCTTGCAAATGTCACATTTAGCTTGCTCAATAATGTTTTATATTTTATAATTATTAAAACGTTACTTAGTCCAGCCCTACATCTTATTCTATTCTATCTATATAGCACACCAATTTTTTTCTATTTTTGTTTATTTATATATAGCCTATTGGGTTTTTGTTAAATGTGAGCCAAAATCATCACAATTAAAAGAACCAAAGACTTATACTACTTCAGTCTGTGTGCATTGAATTTATTTAATACACGAGTTTCACAATTTGAGTTGAATTACTGAAATAAATGAACTTTTCCACGACATTCTAATTTATTGAGATGCACCTGTATGTATATTTTCTTCACACATTTTTTTTTAAATGATCTGTGTGTTGTTGTTGTTGCCTCTGTGTACTGGAAGCTTCTGTCACTAGAACAAATTCCTTTTATGTGCAAACATACTTGGCAATAAAGCTCTTTCTGATTCTGATTCCGAAAAATTTCTAAAATTCAGTATAATGCGCTTATTCTTATAACACTGCAAAAAGCCAAACGTTGAGATCTTATCCAAGAGAAGAAACAAAATGCCATTAAGAGTAACTTTTTTTTCCATAATTAGAAGCCATGAGTAATCTATGCATTTCTCCGAGGCTTGATTCTACAGGACTGTGGATCTAGGACATAAGCGCGTTCACGCCGCTCCTCCGCCCTGCCACTGTTCTCTTGCACGCTCTCAGCTCCGCGCGTGCTCGGACGAGCCCTTCCGCTGGGCGCACGCGTGCGCGCTCCGCTCAGGATGCTGGATTGTAGGTGATGATGGCGGAAGAGGAGCTGCGCTGAGTTTTCTCCCAGTTTTTTTTTAAATACACCCCTATAAGACGCTCGTCAGCAGATCTTGTCTTTCTCCTCCGTCTCACTCAGAGGGACTATGGGGAATGAAGCGAGCCTCGAAGGAGAGGGCCAGCCGGGGCAACCGGGAGGCGCTGTTCCCGCGGCTGGAGCCCCGGCTTCCATTTCAGCACCAGCGGGCGGTGGACAGCTCCACAAGCCGAGCAACGGAGCGCCTGCCGGGGGAATAGGCACCGCACACGGGCCGGGAATGAACAGGTAACGAGAATCATTTCAAACGCTTGTGAAGCGTGTATATTTTGGGGAATTAAATGCAATGCTTTGTGCTACACGAAGCGAGTCTGTGGGGTCTAATCTTGTGCTTTTACATTTAAAAGAACTAGTCACTTTTGGCCACATTCAGAATCGATCATTTTGTTTTTTAACAGCCTTCATTTGATTGCACTTTACATCCGATAATTTACACCCAATGATATGCATTACCTAAAGCTACTAAGCCAGCTGTCAGCTAAAAACCTATGTGTAGAAGATCGGGAATCAACTAACATATGCTGGACTCATGGGGTTATTTGATCTCTGGCATTCTTGATGCATAGATCTTTTTACATATGAGCATGCATATATATATATATATATATATATATATATATACTGTATAAGCAGCCAAATGAGAATGTTTTGTTTTGTCATGTCTTATTTCCATTCATGACAGACAGTCTATACTATTAGCCTTGCTCTGTCCCAGACTGAGCCACCTATGTTTTTTATGAGCTTTAATGGACATAGGAGATTGATGATCTGAATGCATGATTGATAATATTACCAGATGTGTATTGATCAAATGTATTATCATATGCATTTAGTGGTATTTTAAATGCATACAAGAATCTGGTGTCTGATATGGTAGGTTATAGAGTGAGGCATATAGATAATCTGGTGCATGCCATACTCTTGTTTAGTCATATAAACCTCAATTTGCTTCGGTATGATGTTTTAATAACGCTGACTACAGTCACATGATGTGAAATTCATTGCTTTGTTAGCCACGCCTAATAGTGCTGATATCAAAATGCACTGGTACTAAAATCTCACTGTAAAACACACTCTGAGAGTGCAAGCATGATAAAATTGTTATAGCATTAATAATTGATAAAATTTTGATGAGGATCCATGTGACTCATCTGTTACACATGCAAGTGAACATCTTTCACTAACTCTATCTCAATTCCTCCCCACCCCTCTCTCATCTCCCTCTACAATCTTGAATTACCTTGCACTCTAAAGATTTAGAATTAATCAAACTTTGTGATGCAATTTATGCTGTTTGCAAATTTACTAGCTGTCGTTCTCTCTCCGGGTCCATTTTGTATAGCAGTGGTTCTCCAGTTGTTTTGCTTCAGGACACAGATTTTACATTGGACATGAAGTGGCAACTCAGAGCAGTAGCAAAATTGTTTATTGTATAAAAATCCCTTGAATTACGATAGTTTTGTGCTGTTGGCAGCCAATAATTCATAGCACAAAGCGCATTATGGTTGGCACAGACATTTATTGTTGTCTGGATTGCATTTTCTTTTAAATTTTCTTCATGCTTTTTGGATGAGGGCAGGTCATGTGTCTTTCATTCACAGTAACTGAAATTTGAGCCACAATACTGTAAAGTTTGTTTGGATGCACAACCTTTGACCCCTACAACAAAACGTATATAAAGTGTTTTGTGCATGCTTCCATTGTAAAAGTTGATAAGCCTATTTATTTTCCTATTCTAAATATGCAGGATTAATACGATTAGTTGCAGTTTATTTATTGCTTTTAGCATTGTTTTTTCATGCAATCCACTGGTTGAGAAATGCTGTTACAGATTGGATAATATGATAATTTGTCTTGCATCTACAGTCACAGTTTAATTTCTGTGAAAATACTGTAAATTTGGATTAATGACAAACATCAACAACAAAACAGATGGGAAGCATTTTCTGTTGATAAGCCTATTTATTTTCAAATCCTAAACGATTATACTATGATTTCCATTTTATTATTTGCTTTTATAAAATGCTTTTTTATTTATACTGTACATTTTGATCAGATACACAAACTTTGGTGTCCACAACACCACAAATGGGAAATGTTTTTTCTTCCATTTTAAAAGTTGATAAGCAAACTTATCTTCCAGTCCTAAATATGCATAATTAAATGGTTGGTTGCATTATATTATTTGCTTTGAGCAGTGTTTTCCTCTGCAACCCATTGGTTGAGAACCACAGTTATAGACTGGATAATGTTATAATCTGATTTATTGCATGCACAAACTTTGACAACAACAAAGCATATGGAAAGGATTTTCTCTTACATTTCTCTTACAAGGTTGATAAGCCTATTTTTTGAGTCGTAAATATGCACAATTGCATTCTATTAATTGCTTTTAATATTATTTTCCCCTGCAACCTACTGGTTGAGAACCACTGTTATGTTGGATAATTTTATAATCTGACTTTAATAACAGTTGAGTTTATGCCAATAAAACATAAATTTGATCAGATGCTTGACTTTTGATGTCGGCAACAAACATTTGGGAAATGTTTTCTCTTCCGTTTTAAAAGCTGATTAGCCTAGTTATTATCAAATCCTAAATATGCACAATTATTTGCACAATATTGAGAACCATGGTTATAGACTGGGTAATATCATTCATCTAGAATCTACAGTAACAGATGAATTTGTGCCAAAATAATGTACATTTTGATCGGATGCACAACCTTTGATGTCAACAACAAAACATCTGGGAAATGTTTTCTCTTCCATTTTAAAAGCTGATAAGCCGATTTATTTTCCAATAAAGATGCACAATTATACGGTTAGTTGCATTTTATTTGTAGTTGTTTTTCCCTGTAACCCTGTAACCCACTGTTACAGATCTGATAATTTTATGACTTGCCTCTACAGTAATGAATTTGTGTCCAAATACGGTAAAGTTTGTTGCACAACCTTTGACATCAACACCGAAACATGTGTGAAGCATTTCCTCCTCCATTGTAAGAGTTAATAAGCCTATTTATTCTCCAAAGTTGCTTTATATTTTTTTGCTTTTAGCATTGTTTTTCCTTGCAACCTACCAGTTGACAACCATTGTTATATAGTTGCTAGAGTGAGTGACGTGACATGTGGCCAAGTATGGTGACCTATACTCGGAATTAGTGCTCTGCATTTAACCCATCCAAAGTGCACACACACAGCAATGAACACACACCTTGAACACACACCCGGAGCAGTGGGTAGCCATTTTTTTGCTCCCCGCCCGGGGAGCAGTTGGGGGTTCAGTGCCTTGCTCAAGGGCACCTCAGTCGTGGTATTGAAGGTGGAAGAGAGCGTTGTACATTCACTCCCCCCACCTACAATCCCTGCAGGTACGAGACTCGAACCTGCAACCTTTGGGTTACGAGCTACATAACTCTAACCATTAGGCCATGACGTCCCATTAGGCCTAGACGCCTTTCTTACAAGAAAGACTTGTTTTGCATCTTGCACAACTGCGTCTCAAGTGTTTTGAAGTGCAGATACACCGTGTATCCGACCTGAAACATCGATTTACAATGCAATGATGCAAATGAAATGTATTTGTTGCAGTAGGGTGACCTAGCTGTTGGTGTGTTTAAAGTCAGGCCTCTCACAGTAAGACTATATTCTTGATGCCAGTGTTTCTCTATGGTCTGATTGGTTTGTTCATAAGTTGAATCTGTTTGGACATGTGAGAAACGCACAAAGGCATTTGTACAGCAGTAATGTTACTGCTGCACGTACTGGCAGTTTGTCTGTGTCTGACCAGCATCATTAAAACTCCTGAAATGGGTGTGTAGTCGCAGTCGTAGCCTTGCGTGAGTGTTTGAGGGAAATACAAACCCATGGAGGATATTACAACCTGGGCAGGGGAAACTTTTGTTCTTCTCATGGGCCATTCTGAGACTCTTGCATTTTTTTTCTTCTTGTGTACATCTCATGTTTTTATTGATGTACTGAAATGCTCAGATTTTTCTGGACAGTGTCATCCCATCATACACACACACATAGTGTGTGAAATGACTGCATCTGCCCTTTGTTTGACAGAGTGGTGTTATGTCTTATGTACCATATCAAGGCACTTCATCATTCACTTGTAAAGTGCGTGAGATGCCTACAGATGAGGCGAGACCTTGTGCTAATCTCCTCAAGGGTTTCTTTCGCTACAAACTCTTTTAAAACTGCCTTCAAAGTTTGATGTTCGCTGAAGTCAATCTTTAAAATCATTTCACAGCATTTGGGCTTTGTAAAAGAAGCGATATTGGGGAGTAACTCCTAACTTTTTTAGTAGTACTACTATGACAGTAACTCTGCTTTAAAAAAAATTAAAAATCAGTTCCTGGAACTCCCTGTGAAACATTTTACTTAGTTTTTTGTAGCGAAATAAATGTCTACTGTTGTTTAGCACTGTTATGTTTTGGATTCATATAAATGATTTGGGGTCTGTAAGATAAAAAAAAACTATTATATTATTATTTGAAATTGCGAAATATAAATGTAATTTAAAATAAATGTTTTTTTTATTTGAATATATTTTATAATGTAATTTATTCTTGTGATGTCAAAACTGAATTTTCAGCATCATTACTCCAGTCTTCAGTGTCACATGATCTTTCAGAAATCAGTCTAATATGCTGATTTGATGCTTATTATTATCAAAGTTTTGTGCTGCTTCATATTTTTGTGAAAACTGTGATACCTTATTTGAGAATTATCTGATGAATGTAAAGTTCAAAAGAACATTTATTTAAAATATATATATTTTTTAAATATTATAAATGTCTTTAATGTTACTTTTGATCAATTTAATGTATCCTTGCTTATTAAAAGTTAATAAAAAAAAAAAACCCAAATCTTTCTGTTCCCAAACTTTTGAACTAGTGTAAATTAGGGTTTTTTAGTTTCTTGCAATACTTGGTTTCAGTTTAAGTGCATTAACACACAAATTTTGGTGTAATTTATGTATCTATATAACTTATGCCAAATTTTGCTCTTTTTATTGGAATTATTATAATTTCATACATTGATAAGTAAAAAGTAAAAAGATATCGCCCCCTTCAGTATAGTTAGCTATTTTTAGTTTTTAGCTTGTAGTGAATTTTGACTGTTTGAAATTGAGTTTTCAATTGAGTAGCTTGTGTCTTGGCGATCTACAGTTTCAAATCTTCCCCAGCACCGATAAGCAGCATTACAAACAGTCGGTT